ATTCAGGATGCATTCCCTCACCCAGCCAGTTTAACAATCGTGGGGAGAGTGGGCTGAGCATGCAAAGAACCTATGTGTGAGTCACTGCTTCACCCCTACTGGTTGTATAGCCCTAGGCAAGTTACTTAGTCTTTCTGAGCCTCAGTTTCCTTATCTGTAGAATAGTACTGAAAAGCCATCATCCCTGCTTGTATTATAGGGTTTTATGTGAGTATGCACTTAGCAAATTGCCTGGCCCATCAGAAGGAGGCCATCCAAAGTTGGGGGAAAAAATCCCCTGTGGTCCCATCATTTATATAACATCTTAGTCATTACATATTCATTAAAATTGTTCCCCAAGGGCCTTGCTAAGGTATTAGTTTGCTCTCTTTGCAATAAGCAACCAACTTGGCTTTCATCTCTCTAAAAATAGTGCCTGTTTCCAAACACCCTCTACCTGGAGTTAAGGTGTCCCACTCCAGGTAGGAAATGGTGGAACGGTGGAGCCTTTGTCGCAGGGAGTCAGTGGGAGCATGTGGATCGAGGGGGTGGGTGTTGAGGGCTGGCCTGCCTCAGAAGAGAAGGGTGGGATGGTGGAGCCAGGGGCCAATGGTGATGTGATGATGAGAGGTGGGTCTGGGTGGTGAGTCCTGGGAGGGCCGTCCAGTGAGTGAGAGCTGGTCAGCAGGGAATTGTAAAGGGCTGAAGGAGCAGTTATAGAGACCTGAGTTTCAGCCCTGGCTCTGTCATTTTCTAGTTGTGTGACATTAGGCTGATTACTTAGTATCTCTGAGCTTCAAACTCCTTATCTATAAAATGGGAATAATAATAGTACCTATCTCATGATGTATAGAGATTATGTGAGCTACTGTAAGCAAAATGCTTAGCACAGTGCCTGGCTCTTAGTAAATGTGCAATGAATGCTGGCTGCTATTATTGTTATTCTTGTTATTGTGATTGTGATAATTATTACTAATCTTCATTTTGGCTGGTCTAATGGGGGGCTCATTGGCATTAACTGCCACAGTTGTCGTTCTGGGGTTATTGGCCATGCCAGAGGCTGTGAGTTTGCTGCAGTGTAGCAGGGTCTTGCCAGATGTAGATGGACCCTTCAGGAAGGCCTGACTCCCCCAAGAGTTTCACAGCCCCTCTCAGACCAGGCTCAGCAGAGCTGGCCTCTCCTGCAAGCTGTCCCCTCTCTGGCTCATACCTCCCCTGAGGTGGTTAACAGTTTTAATGTGAAAAGCCTCTTCTCTTCTAGCTTCTGGCAGATTAGAGTCAAAGAGAGAATGTCAATGTCAGCCAAAGACGCCTCTTAGCAAAACCGTTGACCTGGTGGCCAAGACCTTGAAAGTCCGATTCACCTTGGATAAGCCAGAGCAGCAATAAATAATCTTCCTGTTGTCTCTGACTTCAAGATAAATCCAGAAACAGCCACTTCTCACCCACTCTACAGCTGCCACTGCAGCCATCATCTGTCCTCTGGGTTCCTGCAAGGGACTCGCACGTGCCTGGGTGCTTCCAACTTTGCCCCCCACCCCCCATCATGCAGTTTATTCTCAATGGACATGCTGGCTGAGGTGAGCTTGTCAAATGTGATGTCACATCACGCTCTGCATAAAAAGGCCCCTCTGCTTAGAAGTCCTCCATTGGCTCCCATTTCACTCAGAGTAAAAGCCGATGTTCCCACTGTGTGCTATAAGGCCCTGCTTGGTGTGGCTCCTGCTACATTCTGACCTCCCCCTCTTCCTCCTCCCTGCCCTCCAGCCCCACCGGCCTCCCCAGTGGTCTTCCATCTCGCCAGCTGTGCTCTCGCCCAGGCCTTTGTCCTTGCTGTTCCCCCTGCCTGGAGTACTTTCCCCAGACATCTGCTGGCTCATTCTCTTGCTTCTTCCACTGCTCAAACACCACCTCACTAGAGAGGACTTCTCTGACCCCGACATCCCACATTAAGTAACAGCCCCCATGCCTCTTCTCTTTTCTCTCCTTGCTTTATTTTTCAAAATATAAATTCGTCTCTGAGTCAGCCCTATGGCCTAGTGGGTAAAGTTCGGCATGTTCCACTTTGGAACACGGTGGCCTGGCTCGGTTCCTGGGTGCAGAACCATACCACCTGTCTGTCAGTAGCCATGCTGTGGCAGCAGCTCACACAGAAGAACTAGAAGGACTTACAACTAGAATATACAATTGTGTACTACTGGGGTTTTGGGGAGGGAAAAACAAAAAAGAAAAGAAGATTGGCAACAGATGTTAGCTCAGGGCGAATCTTTCCCAACAACAACAAAAAAACCCCCAAAAAACATATATATGTGTGTGTGTGTGTGTGTGTATATAAGTTTGTCTCTCCACTAGAATATAAGCACTGCAAAGGCAGGACTTTGCGTTTTGTTCAATGCTGTATCCCCTGTGCCTAGAACAGTGCCAGCAATAGTACCTTCTCAATAAATGTTTGTTGAATAAATGAACGATTGAATCTTCCTTTCCTGAGAGTAGGTCTGTAATCTGCACAGAGAATGGGCAGCCAGCTCTTCCTTCTCTCCTGAGGACCAAGCAAAATGATGTGGCTCCAACATCCAGCAGGATGTATTTAGATTAGCTGCTGGCAGAATTTTCTGGCATTGGGTTAAATATTGGCATGGTCTTGTGCGTACATTTATTGAACTGACTTTCTAGGAGGTTTGAAAGCCTCTCACCTGCAGGATTATGTATTTAGGTAGCTGCCTGGTAGAACTTTCTGCCGTGGGGAGATGGGTCTGATTATAGAGATAAGGAAGAAGCCCAGACAGGTGACAGGATACACTCAAGGTTGCCCACTTATTAGTAGCAAACAAGGTCCCAATCAGGTCATCTTATTTAACAACGTTTCCTTCCAATTTTTGAGCACTTACTTGTCTTAGGCACTGGAGATTCACAGATGAATGGCTCCTGTCCCTGAGGGGCTTGCTGTCTAGACCCTTGACCTCACCACCCCATCTTCCCATCCCAAATCCCATCATTTAAGGCTCTGTCCACCTTCCTCCCAAATGCTGAAATGTTGCGGGCACACCCTCCATCTAAATGCCTCCACCGCCTTCCCCCACCTCACTACCTCCATGCCTTCTGCTGGCCCATCTTTCTTCCTCTTCAATGTGCCTCAAAACACCATCACCTGCCCAGCTAGATCTGTACCCCTGGCCCTTGCCTGCAGTGAGTGGGGGCATCATCTTTGTGTCTCAGATATTTTGGGGAGGCTGAACTTTATACCTCTCAACCCGACTGTAGCTGCTGGAACTTATCTCGGAGTCCTGGGGCAACAGAAAAGCGGGGTGGAGGGACCTGAGGCTGTGTTGTTAGGAGGGAGACCCAGGTTCCAAATCTGGGTTCACTGTGGGTCCCAGTGTTCTCATTTAGATGTGTGGATGAGAAAACACACCTCGTCATTGTGGGGAAGATGTAATGAGCGTGTGAGGTGCCCGTCACCGCACCTGGCCCATTGTTAAGTGTTCAGTGCAAAGCTTGTAGAGTGGTGGGTAAAGGCGTGCTCTCTGGAGCCGGAAGGCCTGGGTTCAAATCCTGACTCTGTTGCTCTTCATGCTGTGACCTTGGATAAGTCACTTGACCTTCTTCTGCCTCATCTGCAAACTGGAGTTTGGTCTGCTGAGGGGTTGTGGCAGATGATCAGTGAGAGCCTATGGGGAGCCCACAGCACAGGTGCCTTCTTAGAATAAACTTGTCATCTCACTGTTATTATTGCTGGGAAAAAGATTGGAATGTTGTAGAAGGAAATAAGAGAGGCCAAGTTTCTTCCAGCTCCCTAATTTACAGATGGGGAAACTGAGGCCCAGAGAGGTAGAAAAGAGACGTGGGTTGCTGACTCCCCAACTGGCCCTCTCTCCCCAGTTCCACTTTGCTGTGTCTCTTCCGCCCTCCCAGGGCGGGGGCGCAATGGGCGCTCCGTGACAGCATCCTGCCTGCCCCAAGTGTGACACCTCTGAGGGGTGTCGGGGGGCCTGTAGCTGCCACGCTGTTCTGATCCCCACTTGGGGGATTCAGACTCTGCTTCCATGAGGCCTGATTCTTTCCCCCTAAATGAGAAAGAATGTCCTGGATACGCCTTGTGCCGCAACCACCCCGATCTGCAAACCCTGTAATTCTCCCAAAGAGAGAAGGAAAAAAAAATGCCGACGCAGTCTGCCCGACTCCTGGGCCAAGATTTAGTGACGGGAGCTGCAGCGAGGTCTCGCATTACTGAGCCTTCATCACTTCTACGAAATATGTTCCGGTGGGTTCACCCGCAGCTATAAAGCGCCGTCGTAAATAATTAAACTCTACTTGTCAAGAGGGCCAAGGGGTGGGGGGTGAAGCCACGGCATCGTGCCAGGAGCACTGGGCTGGGAGACGGGAGCTCTGGGACCCGTCACGGTTGTCTGATCCCTGTGACCTTGGGCGAGCAACTTCGCGTCTCCGGGCCTTGGCTTCCCCACGTGCCGAAGAGGAGGTTGGGGCAGGGGGTCTTCCAAGTCCTCACCACTCTGACAGCCAGCAATGCTCAGCTCCAGTGAGGTGCATTTTGGGGAGGGTGGTTCCAGGCCTCCCGATCTTCCTTCCTTCTACGCATCCTTCCATTTACCCAAGTTCCAAGCCCTTAGAAAGATGGTCATGGCACAGGCAGCCTCGGCTCTTTAGCATCTCTCAGTCCAGTAGGGAAGACCATCCAGGAAACTGATTACGACACTAGGGAAGCCCAGAGGCCCGTGGAAGTGCAGGGGAGGGCCCAGGAAGGCTTCCTGGAGGAGGCGCTATTGGGCCCAGCCTGGGAGAATGGGTGGGAGTTAGACAAGGGAGGGCATTCAAGGCAGAGGAAACGGCCTGTGCAAAGGTGCAGAGGAGAGCCCAGGGGTTAGAAGGCTGGCCAGCCGCCCCATCAAGAGCAAAGGTGACCCAGGACCATTAGTGGGTGATAGGTGCCTTCTCCCTGTGTCCTCACACGGTCTTTCTGCTACGTGTGCCCCCTCGTGTCGCTCTGTGTGTCTTAATGCCCTCTTCTGATAAGGGCACCAGTCACCTTGGATCAGGGTCCACCCTAGTGCCCTCCTGTTGACTCGTTTACCCCACCTGCAGCTCCTTTGGCTGGTCTGGTGGGATTCGCCTCGGGGGATTCCACACTGGTCCTCCCCTCCTGTCTTGTGTCTCTAGCTGCTTCATGCCGAGGGCTCCTCGCCCCCCAGGGACCCTCCTCATCAGTCCCCTCCCTCTGTGGCCCACAGCTGGTCCCAGGGAGACACTTTGCCCCAACAAACACCACCCCTCCCCCACCTTTTCATCTGGCTTTTCCCAAGTGAGTCACGAATCATCGTTGTGCACCCCAAGGCTCATGCACCCAGGGGACACATAGCTAGCTCTCCAGCGGTCTCGCTGAAGACGACCTCCCTTCCTGAACTTGAAGGAAAGGCAGGCACCCCGCCCTTCTCTTTTGGTAGGGGGACTCTCAGAACCCTAACAGCTCCCCCCAAAACTCCCCTCCTCATCTCCAGCGCCCTCTTGACCTTCCCAACCTCTTTTAAAGTAGTGGTGTCTGGTAAGCTAAGGGCTGCCAGGCAAGTTCTCACTGCCTCCTTTGCAAATCCTGCTTGGGTGGTCTCACCCCTCACCTTGGAATACAGGTGTGGTCGGCATCTGTGGTCTTGGGGCCTCATCCAAAACCGAGACTGAAGTAGTTCCATTTTAATATCCAGTGACGTTCACACACACTTCAGACTTCCTACCTCAGGACCTTTGCACATGCCACTCCCACCTCCTCTGCCTAAATACCTTGTCCCCAGATCCCTGCTTGGGGAAGGCATCATCTAATGACCTCAGGTATTTCACCCAGTCACGCACTGCCCCTCCCCAGCTAGTCACACTATCAAGTCATCCTGCTTTTTTCCCTCTCTGGAGACTTATCAAGACCTGAAGTGGTTTGTTTGTTTGCTTGTTTATTGTCTGTCTCCACCCCACACCCCTGCCTCCACTGACCTTAGCACCTCAGCTCCGTGAGACTGGGTCTGTTTTGTTCACTATAACCCAGAGCTGACAGTGGTGCCTGGCACGAGGGTGATGCTCAGGAAGAATGCACTGGGTGACCGTCCCCCTCCCTCTGCTCAATCAGGACGAGAGATCCACAGCTTAGCCTGTAGGATTTGATCAAGATACTGGGTCATCTCAAAGGGGCCAGGGTAACAGAGACTGCAGAGTTCTGCCATCTCTCTGATGCAGGTGGCAAAGGTGTGTCGCTGGTCGGACTGGCACGAACCAGCCTGTCCAGCGTCCCCTGGGTTCTCTTCTACACTGACGAGTCGAGAGCTGGAACTCAGATGCTCAGACCCCAAGTGGGAACTTGAGGGCCAGGGGAGGTGTGTTTGAATTTTGGAACAGGAAGCAGCTGGGAGGCGACCTGGTGGGCAGACGCTGGTGGGATGCCGACTGCCTCCCTGCCCGGGTGGAGGCCATGCAGTCGCTGAGTTGCCCAGGAGGGAGAGGAGACCCACACTGGGGGAGAGGGGCTGGCTGGGGGCAGGGAGGAGTGGAGCTCCACCCAGGGGGAGCCAGCCGCCACAGCGGGCTGGACCATGGGGGGACTGCTGAGACCAGGGCTGGGGTGGCAGGGGGGGAGGGGTGCAGACAGACCCCTGGGGCAGGTGGGAGGTCCCACAGAGGAAGCCAATCTGGCCACGGGAGAAGGAGTTGGAGACTCTAGTCTCTGCTTCACTTGGCTGGCTCGACGACTTCAACCCAGGAAGAGGATAGTGGCCTCGTGGTCTGGGCCGCGCTCAATGCCCAACCTGAAGCTCACAGACGTTTTTGTTTGTCTTAATCTTAGTGAGAACAGAATTTAAATGAGGCCGTTGACCGGGTGGGGATGAGGCAGCTGTGCAGCTGTTCATTGAGCACCTGCTCTGTGCTGGGTACTGTGCTAACCACCACGTGGCGGGCGGTGAGGGGGGTGTGGGCATGGGTGCCTCCTGGGGTGGCCTGCAGATTCCACAGGAGAGCTGCAGCCCTGCCTGAACACAGGCTCAGCCCTCACCTGGGATGGCCTGATGCGCCCTGGGGTCAGTGCTCCAGGAACGACCCTCAGCCAGGAGGGTGGAGGCTGAGGGCAGAAGCCCAGCTTCCTCGCCTGTCCCTCGGGGTGGGGGGGGGCGGCCCTCAGCTGTGCTCCCCACTGTCTGTCAGAGGGTCCCAGGGATTGGGCCCGGTTGCCACAGTGGCAACTGCTCATTGCTCACCCTCGATGGCCTTCCTTCTGCATTCTCGCACTGCCCAATTCCCTGGCTGTGCGCCTGGTATCCTGTGTCACCTCCCCTCTAAATGATTGATACCCAAATCCTTGTCTGCTTTGGGGGAACCCAAACTAAGAAAGGAGGTTGGGAGAATAGAAGAATATGGGGTACATTGTTCTTCTCATGGAGAAACACAAGTTCAGAGAGGTTAAGCAGCTTCCCCACATCACCCAGCCAGGAAGGAGGAGCCTGGCTCAGAACCCAGGTCTGTTTTGGTCCACCCAGAACCCGGACCGGTAACGTGGGGAGAGGAAAGAGGAGCTGGGTCTCTGGACTTGAAGCCAACCTGGGGTCTTGTTTATAGGGCAACAAAAGGTCACTGGGGGTCATTCCCATCTTGGCTTCCAGAAGATTCTGCAAGGGGCAGAATTTAGAAGAAACATCACTCACCTCAAATCCGGGGCTGGGGTCCTGCAGGGCAGGGGCTGAGGGGTCAACGTCTTGCGTATTAAAGGGAGGAGAGTCGCAGGGGTGAGGTGTCTCACCACGTCCAAGGGCAGTGGGCACTGGCAGCTGCGGGGTCAGAGTGGGAGGGCCGCCCTGCAAGAGCCCTGCAGGTGGGGATGTGGAATTAAAAACCAAATTGGAGGGGAAGAGACTCTGAGCCAAGCGCAGCCCCAGCCCTCCCCAGCACAGATGGTGCAATTAGCAGATTGGACAGATTCTCTGCAGAAGATGATGCCACTTGAGAAAGGGAAACAGTTCTGTGGGGGGTCTTTGCTCTATTTTAAAAGCAGCCGGCAGTGTGTAATTCCTTCAAGTAAATTGTATATTTAAGCGCTTAGGGTGGGGAGGCAGCCGCGGTACTTGCTTCTGTGTGGAAATTAGGAAGATGCAGGGCCCTTGTATGTGGAGCGCCTGCTGTGGGCAGGAGGGAGGAGGAGGGGGGCTCAGCCCAGGCTCAGGGAAGGGGGGGCAGAGGGCATCCACCCATATTTTCTTCCGAGGCAGGATGGTGTCCGCCCCTTGCCCTCCTCTGACCCCAAAGACCAGGTCAGAGTGGAAGGTGCAGGGGCACGTGTTTCACTGCCCCTTCCCTCCCAGCAGGGGACAGTCTCCCCAGGTTTCTTCGAGGCTCTGGCCTCCCCTCGCTGCCCCTGTGTCTGCAGGGAACAGCAGGATCTCCAAGCACTTATGGAACTCCAAGAGGGCAGGGGCCCCATCTGGCTTGTTCATGAGGTATACGGCAGGTGCTCAAGAAATGTGACTTGACTGAATACAATAGGAGAAGGGGAGTAGCAAGGACTCACTGACTTTGGCGGAAATTCCAGCTCCGGGGCCTCTTTGGGGCATGCTCTGTGAACGTTCTGATCCCCGGTTCTTGGTTCCTTTGTGTGTAGAATGGAAGAAGGCCTCCCTGGGAGGGGTTTAAGGAGATTCACGGAGGTGGTGCCTGTAGGCTGCTGGGCCAGCCCCTGGCACATAGCAGGTGTTCAGGAGAGTAGCCCTGTGTCCCCTTGATTCTCTCAGCCCTGCTCCCCCCCATGTGGCCTCTGGGTCAGGGTAGAGAGCAGGCCACATTCTGGGCCTTGGGGACAACGAGGTGGGGTCATTAGTTCTCCCGCTACGAACCAGTCCCCTTCCCTGCACCCTACAAGTGCAACTCCCACCCCAGGTCCAGACTCCACCTATGGGCAGAGGAGGCAGGAGCCCACCTGCAGAGGAGGGAGGCCCCAGGCCCACCTTCCAAACCTGCTGTGTAAAGGGCAGGGTCGGGTTTGTTTCAAGGGCAGGGCCGAAGGTAAGGAGCTTGGAGACCTCCCCTCCCTTGTCCCTTTGAAGGGTGCAAATACGTCCTTCTCTTCCCGAGCCTGGGGTAGACAGGTGGGAGGATAATTCCAGGGAAGCTAGTTGGCTGGCTGCTATCGAGTGTGTGTGCGTGTGTGCGCGCGCGTGTCTTCTGGTGCCCTCCTCTGTGGCTGTGTCTGACTCTGTGTCTCTCTGGGTGCCTGAGGACGTTTGTCCCTCTCCACTTGTGTGCCCCCCACCCCATATCTGGGTGTATGTGTGTGCACACAGAAGGGCTGTTGGCTGTCTCAGACACAAGCCCTCGTCCCAGCCCCCGTCTATCTCTCCCCCTCTAAGCTGCAGCCAGGCCAGCCCCCTAGAGGAATGGCTCTGTCGGCCTCCCCCAGATCAGCCAGCTCTGAGCTGAGTGGTCCCAGGTCACCCTACCGGCCCTTCACTGAATCCCTCCCTCAGCCCTCTCCTGGCCCTGAATTTAGGGCCTACCGCACAGCCATCCTGGGCAGGCTGCGTCAGGGTCGTGGGGTCAGGGGTGGTCTGGGAGGTGCGGGGCACCAGGAGGCCTGAATACCAGCTTATCTGGGGGCTCTTTCACCCCCTGTGGTCTCCAATGCCAAAAGGTTTCCCTAAGGGCCCTGGAAAACATGGAGCGATTTCCGCCCCAGCCAGTGCCCCGGCACCTGTGATACATGGTTAGCTGCTCTCGATAGCCAGGGCAGCCATCCTGGGTGGCAGGGGCAGGCTTGGGGTGGGGGGCTATTCTGACTGCCTCCTTATGGAATGTTCCAGGCTCACAGATCTTCTCTACCAGGGAACTCTGGACTCTCAGGTGAAATGGTGGATGCTCCAGACTGAGGAGGTGTGGGGACGTTCATGGCACTGGGAGGCCCATGTTCAAGTTCTGTCTCTGCCCCTGTGACCCTGATAAAGTCCCTTATTGGGTCTGGGCCTGTTTCTCAACCTGCACACTGGGAAGGTTGGACCAGATGTTTTCTAAGGGCTCTGCAGCTCAGGTGAA